CTCATGAGCCTGGGTGCCTGCTCAGGGCTTGCTCAGGCCCTGCACGCTCTTGTCCTCTGGAACTTCCTGGTTCCACCGTGTGACTTTGTGTTTCTGTTCCTAGATTCTTTCCACGTGGTTTTTCACGTTCAGTCACAAATCCCCGCCGGTTCCCACGCAGCCTTGTAGGCTTTCCTGAAACAGCAAATGCTTTTGGAGACCGTCATACCTGAAACTTCCCCTTTCCTCATGAAAGTCACTGGGATTACAAACGCGCTTCTGCCTCGTGAATTCTTTCAGCGTTGTGAAGCAAGAACAGAGGTTCCCCAATCCAGAAATCTAACAAAAACACCCTTCTGATGCCAATCGTAGATTGTTCCCCTGTAGAGAGTTCAGGGTCACCCAAAGCTGAGAGAGCTCAGGGGCATCCAAGATTAAGCTGCATCTTAACGCTGGTACCGGCCCACGGTGTTATCTATATGCTTACGGGGGCTTGCTAGCTGCAAGACCAGGGGTCCTCAAAGTTTTTAAACAGGGGGCCACTTCACTGTCCCTCAAACCCATTGGAGGGCTGGACTATAGTTTTAAAAAAACCTATGAACGAATTCCTATGTACACTTCACATATCTTATTTTGAAGTCAAAAATCAAATGGGGCAAAAACACCCAGCGGGCTGGATAAATGTCCTCAGCAGGCCACATGTGGCCCGCGGGCCATAGTTTGAGGACGCCTATGCAAGACTATATAAGCTTATTTGAGAAGACATCCGCTCTCATTCCTGGCTTCATGGTGAACCCTTGCACGTTTTATCTGTTGTGCTTTATGTTTTTTCCTTTTAATTGCACAATCACTACTCAGGACCTATTTGGTTGTAAGGCTGGACCTACAGCCATCTTCTTACCAACCTTGGATCCACATGACTTTGCATCCACCAGCGTGTGATCACCCTACTTCTCGATTCTGCATCCTGAGCCTGCAGTTACATGAATTTTAAAAGGGCTCCGGCTCACCTTGGACCCATGGACTTGAGTTGGCCTGGGCTGGGAGGGACTAGCTTTTGGATAGAAAGCTCTTTCCTAAACATCGACGAGTGTCACCAGATTTGTTTCTCTAGACCACCTGGCCTGATAGACCATTCCTCTTGATATTTTCTTTTCCCTTCTTTTCTATACCTGTGGTCTCGTTACCATCGCTGTCTTCATGAGATTGACTGACTGCTGAGCGCAATGCCTTCCTAATTTGTCCATGTCATGAAGGGTTTGACCGAATCATCATGGTTTGGGGGTTTGGGGGTCAGCTGTCACTTTGGGAGCACATTGGCAGGTCTTTGTCCTGCAGACAGCCACTGAGTGGGTTCCAACTGTCCAGCCTTGCACTTATTGGCCGTGCCCTTAGCCGCCACACCACTGGGGCTTCTTTGCAAGACTTTAAATCTTCATGGGAGCAGATAGCCTCATCTTTCCCTCTTGGAGCAGCTGGTGGGTTCGAATCACTGACCTGTGGTTAGCAGTGCGGGGGTGATCCACCCCACCACCAGGACTCCTCAAAAAAAGAAAACAGAAAACCTTACAGCCATGGAGTCAATGCTAACTCATTGCGACCCTCAGTGGGTTTCTGAAACTGGAGCTGTTGACCAGAATAAAAAGCTCAGTCTTTCTCCTGCAGATATTCTGGTGGTTTTGAACCGCCAAACACAGGGATCACAGCCCAACTCAGAGCCCTGGTGGCATCGTGCTTGCCGGTTGGGCTGCGGCCTGCCACGTCCTCCGTTTAAAACCACCAGCAATTCCATGGGAGAAAGATGGGGGTTTCTATTCCAGTAACGCGTGAGTCTTGGACACCCACAGGGGCAGTTGTACCCTGCCCTACAGGGTTGCCTCGAGTCAGAACGGACTCAATTGCAGTACGTTTGTTCTCGTTTCTCCTGTACAACTGGCTGGTGGTTTCAAACTGCTGACCTTGCGGATCACAGCTCAGAATATAGCACTATTCACCAGATCTCCTTACACTGTGTGGAACGGGAACTGGAAGGATATGAACAGAAAGGCATCTGGAAGAACTGCCCCTGGCCAGCATGGGCTGCAGGTAGAATGGCCCAGGAGGCCAGGATAAGCACTCAGCTGAAAGATGAAGTTTGAGCTGGCTCAGGAGCCAGAGGAGAAGGGGGCAGAGAGGAATGGTATGTTCCAAACCAAACTCCCTGCCACCAAGCCAATGCCAACTCATGGCGACCCTACAGGACAGGGCAGAACTGCCCCTGTGAGTTTCCGAGACTGGAAGCAGGATGTCACCAGGAATGGTGTGTAGTGTCTGATAGACTGGCCTGCCCAGAAGGAGAGGGAGGCAGGTTCTCAGGCCTGAGGGCGGATGACTGAGAAGGGGACGAGGGAAGACCCGTTCAGATTAGGAGGGCAGGGATCTCATGCCTTATTCATCTCTTTCTTGGTGATTGCTGAATTCCACTAAGCCTGATGTCTTCCAGGTTCATCCATGGGAGGAGGCATTTAAGAGTCATTGTTATGCTCCAATGTGGTAAAGCATTCCCTTGTGTGTAGGCACCTAAGTTTATTCATCCATTTGTCCACCAGTGAGCATGTAGGAGTTTTCTATACTTTTGCTATTGTGAATAGAGCTGTGATGAATATGGGTGTGAATAATATATGATTAAAAAACACTCACTGCCATCGAGTCAGTTGACACATGGCAACCCTGTTGACAGGGGAGACTTGCCCCTGTGGGTTTCCACGACTGAGACTCTTTACAGGAACAGGAAGCCTTATCTTTCTCCTTTGGAATGGCGGATGGTTGTGACTTTCTGGTTAGCAGCCCAATGCACAACCACGACGCCATCAAGGCGTGTGTGTGTGTGCGTGTATTGCCCCCCAAAACAAAACACCGATGCTCATTTGTTTTGCGGCAGACGGGGAACTGGCTTTGCCACCGCAACAATGCATCTGTTCACGCAGCCATCTAAGTGGGCCAGTCTTTGGCAAAAAAACAGCATTCCTCTCCGGCCCCACGCCCCTTACTCACCTGGCCTTGCTCAATGCGACTCCTTTTTGTTTCCTCGAATGCAGAGGAACATGAAAGGACAGCGAGTTGACGACGTGGAAGAGGTGAAGAAAAAAATAAGGGAGGTGCCGTCAACCATCCAAACAGCTGAGTTTGAAAAATGTTTCCAGGAATGGAATCACAGGTTTGACAAATGTGTTAAGTGTCATGGTGAGTACTTTGAAGGTGAGGTTGTTTTGTAAAATAAATTTAAATACATAGCTTTTTTGGGGGGGAAATCTGGGTATTTTGGGGTACCCCCAGGTATTCATACCACAGTAAAACTTCTGAGCTCAGGCCCTGGGCAGTGTGTGTGTGTGTGTGTGTGTGTGTGTGTGTGTGTGTGTGAGCTCAGCTGCTCACAGGTGGGTGCAGGCTCAAGTCCACCCTGAGGTGCCTCAGAAGAAAGGCCTGGCAGAGGACTTCCAAACACAGAAGTCAACACACAGGGAAAGCAGTAGGGAGTACAGTTCTGTGCTTACACAGATGGAGTCACTGCGACTTGGGCTTCATGCCACAGCAGCGGGTTATCTTCTGATGTGCTTCTGGGAGCCAAGGAAGAAGATCCATTCATTCCAATCCCACCCAGCTCACTGGGTCCTCAGGGGATCATGTGGAAAATCAGACTCACTCCTCAACTGCCACTGATCGTGACTCATAGTGACCCTGTAGGAGAAAGTGGAACTACGCCCATGGGATTCCTGGACTGTAACTCTTTACTGGCGTAGCAAATGTCATCTTCCTCCTGTGGGGCAGCTAGTGGTCTTGAACTGCTGACCTGATTAGCACCCCAACGTAGAACCACTGCTCCACCTGGGCTACACTACTGCCACTGCCAGAGTCCATGCCAACTCATAATGACCCTATAGGACAGAATAGAACTGCCCCTGTGAGTTTCTGAGACTAACTCTTTATGGCTGTAGAAAACCTCATCTTTCTTCCCTATAGAGGCTGGTGATTTCGAACCATCGATCTTTCAGTCAGGAGCCCAATATGTAACCACTACCCCACCAGGGTTAGGCACCATTATTTACATGTGGCCCCGCCCCAACCATGCTCTTGACACGTGACCCCAGCCCTCCAAGGGGAGAAAAAAAAAGGACTCACTGAGGATTGATTCTGACCCACAGTAACCCTACAGGACAGGGTAGAACTGCCCCTGTGGGTTTCTGTGAGACTGTAATGCTCTACGGGAGTAGGAAGCCTCATCTTTCTCTCGTGGAGCAGCCGGTGGTTTCAAAGTACTTCCCTTGTGATTTATAGGCTGATCAGCATAACCACGCCGCCACCAGGCTCAGAGGCTCACTGGCAAAGCATTTCCAGACAGCAGCAGTGCAGCTGTGGCCCCACCCCCAGCCCCCTTCCTCCCACCAGACCCCAAGATCCAGGCCTTCTCCCCACATCCTGGGACTCTTCCCAGGAATGAAGAGAGCACACGTGTCCTTCTTTAATTTTATATGCAGGTGTAAAAAAAACAAAATACAATGCACATCATGAGTGAGTGGGCATCAGGGAAGACAAGCCTTCTCTTGGGAGTGAGGGCAGGAGCTGATGACACCAAAAGCCTCTATTGTCACTAAAAAAAAATAATATACAGACATTTTCCTCTAGATGTCATGTGACATGCGAGTCCCAAAGGGACAGGAAGCAGCAGCAGGGACATAACTAATACAGGCAGACACACGTGCACACCATGCCCTGACTTGGTCCCTTTCTCGAAGCTGTGGGGGCAGCCATCCCCGTCCACTCCCCACATCTCACCCCAAATCAGAAAAGCAACATCCCACTGGTAGAGTAGGGCCACCCAATAAATACTGTTCTCATGACCTGAAAAAAGTAAATTATCAGATATCACATTGCCTTGAAGGCCACCCAGGACAAGTCTTCTCCTCTCACACACACACTAAAGCACTATTTTTAATACTGAAGTTGGAGGGCCATGGGACCGCTCCCTCCACCCCCCACCCCCACCCCAAGGAACAGTCAAATAACTGACTTCAAAGTCACATCGTGGCTCTTCATCTAACTCCGCCCTCAGACCCAACCCTGCAGATCACAGGATCCCTTGAAAAGGATCTCCAGGCAGTGTTTTGTGACTTTTTTTGTGGTTGCTTTTTTTAGCAAGCCTGATACAAATTCTATCAGGGACCATGCTGAGAGCTTCCCTGTAAATTGCTGACCTCGAGTATCTTTCTTATCTTAAAGGGAGGGCGACTATCCCTAGATCTGTACCCCTTCTCCTACACACACACACACACACACACACACACACACACTAAGGCACAGCTAAGGCAAGCGGGCATGCTTTGGCAAGGAGGCCCCCTGGGGGCCCAGGTATAAACAGCTGCAATGAAGGGTTGGTAGGATGGGTGAGGACCTCAGCACCTTTGGAGGTGGGGGAGGGGAAACAAATCTCAGGGCTCCCAAGGAGGAAGAGGTGAGAAGAGGAAACGGGAATACGGGCAAGGTTGGGGCGAGGAAACAGGAAGTTAGGAGGAAGCAGGAAGAGGAAACCTGGGAAGAAGAAACAGGAAGGCAGAAAATGTAAAGAGGAACTAGGATAAACAGACATGGGAAGAGGTGGGCAAACAAACCTGAAAAGGCAGAGGAGATAAAAACAAGAACGTGGCGAGTTGAAGAAGCAAACAACACAGGGCACTGAACAATAAATATTTGGGGCCTTGGGCAATCACCGCCCAAATCTAGTTGCTGCCTCCCAAGATGCCCAGGTAAAAAACAAAACAAAAACAAAAATCCAGAATGTGGCCAACAAAAGAAGACGAGGAAAAGGAATAGCAAGGAGGAGGAAAGGAGAGTGAAAAACAGAGGGGAAACAGGAAGTGGAGGGGACTAAGAAAAAAGGGAGGCAGGAAGTGGAGGGGGCTAGGAGAAAAGGGAGACCGGAAGTGGGCGTGGTCAGCCGAAACAGGAAGTGGGGGTTAGGAGAGAGGGGGGACCGGAAGTGAGAGCCAGGAAAAGGAAGAAGGCCTAATAAGGACGTCAAGGAAACCCGGAAACTGGAGTGAGGGGAAACGGGAGCGCATCCTGTCGGTCTTTCAGACCTTGACGAAGACCAGGCGGCTGGAGTAGGCCAGGTCGACCAAGTAGGCCAGCAGGTTGATGCCGGTCAAGATGGCGACCGTCAGCTTGCGGTCCCAGGTGCAGACGTAGTAGGCGTGTGATCTGCTGCAGGACACATCCCTGCCTCTCCGGGGCTGGCCGCCGTAGCGCTCGTTGAACTGGTAGAGGGGCCAGATGACGAGGGCGGTGGCGTAGAGGATGACGGAGAGGAAGGCCAGCACCGAGAGGAAGGTGGGGAAGGAGATGGGCAGCGCATTGGTGCAGTCGCCTAAGTTCAGCAAGATGGCCACCGCCGCCAGGATGAAGCAGATGGCATAGACGGCCACGCACCACTCCAGCGCCGCCTGGGACTGGTACAGGTAGGGGTCGCTGATGAAGGCGAAGATGATGCAGGCCACGAAGGTCTCCAGCACCTTCAGCAGCCCCGGCACGGTGGCCATGTAGCCCGTGATCTCGCCCGGGCGGGCGCGGGTCCAGGTCACCTCGAGGGCGTAAGCCAGGAAGGCCACGCAGGAGAAGGTGGTGGCTGCGATGGCGTGGTCCCGCACGCGGCCGTGGGGCAGGAACTGGACGTAGGTGGTGGGGTAGATGATGGAAGTGGAGAGGCAAAAGAGGGCTGCGTAGCAGGCGAAGGTGATGGGGAAGTTGCGCCAGGAGAGCGGGAATCGCTGCTGGAAGCCGAACACCTCCACGATGAGGATGATCAGGGTCACGGAGAAGCAGAAGCACCAGGTGAACATGGACCAGTTGCCCATGGACCCCGTCCAGGCGCCCACACTGGCCACCAGGGAGAAGGCGATGCAGGTAGACAGCAGCTGCAGCAGACGCAGAAGGCCCAGGGGCTGGGTCAGCGCCCTCGGGGACCCCACGATGGTGGGGGAGCCCAGGCCCGCGGCCGGCGATGTGGTGGTCGTAATGGTTGTGCGGGTCACCGTCACCGGCATGGCTGGGGAGGGGAAGAAAGCATACACATGCTAAATTTTCTTCCGCATTCATGTCTCTTCAAAAACACTGGTCCCCACAATCAACTCACAGTGAGGCTACCTGCCAGGGTAGAACTGTCCCTGTGGGTTTCCAAGACTCTAACTCTGTCCAGGAGTAGAAAAGCCTCCCCTTTCTCCCTTGGAGTGGCTCGTGGTTTCGAACTGCTGACTTTGAGGTCCAAAACTCAAAGCATAACCACTGCACCACCAGGGGAAGCATGGGGCTACTAGCCTCAAGGGTCGGCAGTTTGAACCCATGGGACACTGCATGGGAGGAAGATGAGGCAGTCTGACTCAGTAAAGACTGATAGGCACTGAAACCACAGGGAACCATTCTATCCCAGCCTACTGAGATGCAAGCAGTTCCTCACTCTGCCCTTCTCATAATCCCCCCTGAGGAAGTTTTCCTTGGTAAACGTAAACCTCTATGCCTGTGATTACAATCCCATTCTGGAGGGGGGGGTTCTCTGTTTCAGGGTTAAGGTGGGATCTGTCTTTGTCTCCAACTTCCTAACGAGTGTGGCTTAAGGCCTCCTTTGTTTTCCTTGGGTGGGGAGTGGGAGGGACGGCCGGAGTCGATCTTGAGGAAATAAAGATGGAGAGTACTGGCGTGTCTGACCCCTACCTCGTGGCAAGAAGGAAGCCAGCGGAGGTCAGCTATGTGTGGGTAGACTTGTCCTTGGGGGTGTCCGAGGCTGTAACTCTTTACGGGAGTGGAAAGACTTCTTTCTCCCTTGGAGTGGCTGGTGGGCTCAAGGCGCTGACATTGCACCACCGAATGTCCATGGTTAGAAACGTACCCCGAAGACAGTGGAAGATGAGGATTTCCACTCCCGGAAAGAGAGCCTCAGAAACTCACCGGGGCAGTTCTGGCCTCCTACGTATGGCAGCCGCGCTGTGAACCGGCACTGGCTCAATGGCAGCGAGCGAGTTTGGTTTGGGTTTTATACGAAAACAAGGAGCCCTGGTGGTCCCCCGAGGGAAGGGCTCCACCGCTGCTCTAAAGGCTGGCAGGTTGAACCCAGTCACTAACAAAATAAAAACAAACTCCAGAAGGCTACGTTCACAGCCTTGTAAACCCTATGAAGCAGTTCTACGCCGCACCACACTGAGACGCCATCAGCCGGAAGGGACACTCCAGGAACTAGCCAGCAACAACAACACAGGCTATGCAACTTCATGATCCCCAGCATCCTTCCCTCTGTAACGGTCAAACTATGCCCTCACCCCCATGTGCTCTGAGCCCTAAGACCTATGGTTAAGCCATGATGTAAGGAGCCCTGGTAGTGCAGTGGGTTAACTGTTGGACTACTAACCATGAGGTTGGCAGTTCGAACCCACCAGCTTCTCCAAGGGAGAAAAACGAGGTTTTCTATTCCTGTCAAGATTTAGTCTTGGTAGTGAATGATGGGGGAGTGCGGAGTGGAGATCCAAAGCCCATTAGTAGGCCACTGGAGATCCCCTTGCAGAGGGGTCTAGGGGAGGAGATGAGCCAGTCACGGTGCGATGTAACAATGATGAGAAATACAACCTTCCTCTAGTTCCTAAAGGTTTCCTCC